TATATATATATATATATATATGTATATATATATATAAATCTGCAATTTATTTTTATCTATGACCCCATTATGTTGCTCATCTTATTCTACACGTTTTCTTTTTCTTTTTCTTTTTATTTTTTTAAAAATATTAGTAATTAGTGAATTATAATAAGAAAGATTATTCAAAAACTCATTCCTTCTTTATTATTCTATTCCTATGTCTCTCTCCCACACTACCTAAATGACACCATAAGTTATAACTCTTTTTTTTTCTTATATATATATAATAAGAATTATTGTAAAATAATTATGTAATAGTAGATTTATTATTTTATTTAAGAAACTATATCAATGTCGTTCATTTTTTGTGAAAAAATGTGAATTGAATCTTTAGCCATTATGAAAATGACAGTTTATATGAAGTAAGGGAATGCAAGACCGGTCTTGAACCTTGATTGTAGGGGTAATCGTGCATGGTCCATTACCAATTACTACAAAAAAAAATAACCTATGCCTACAGACACTTTTACCTATAGACCTGAATTAGTATAGGTAAAACTAAAAAAAAAAATTACCTACAAATGTTTAATGTAGGTATAACTCAAAAATTTATACCCACTTTTGTTTGGTGTAAGCAAAACTCAATACAACTTAAAGTTCTTCTACCAACAAATTGTCAATGTAGGTAAAAGCCTTCAAAGACTTATGCCTACTACTATTTTAGGTAGGTAAAAAATTTACAAAATTTATACCTACAGATATTTAATATAAATAAAAATCCATATAAAACAAATAAATAATTATATATAAGACTAATTAATTTCATAGAACATCAATATCAATACAAAATATATAATTAAAAATTAGAATTAAATAGCCTATCTTTTAAAAAATAAATAATTAATAAATTAAATAAAAATGTATCAATTAACAAATCAATAATTAAAATATTGAAAAGCTTATATATATAGGGCAGTGTGTGAGCTCGTGTCCCATTCACGTCTTTGTTCTGAATTACTCCGCACCCATTCCTCTCGTGTCCGTTCTGAATCATGTCTCCGTTCTAAGTCTTGAATCATGTCTCCGTTCACAAGTTTCTTCATCATGAATTTGCATATCTCCTACAACTTTTTTTTTCTTCTAATCTAGGTTTTTGGTTCATATAATCCCAAGTCTAATGTAGGATTTGTTTATTGGTACTGAGTTTGCTGACAGATGTCGAAGAAGCACTCATAGATCTCGTATTCGAACGTTCACCAGTTTATCAATAGATATTTTATATCTTCTCACTCGATTTTTCCTCTGTAGATTATAATTAGAATGTCGTCATGTAACTTTACCATCAGTGCCAGCCTCACAGTTGAATTCCTCTGCATTCCTCTGCTTGAATTTAAAACACTTGTAACTTTCGAAAGTTGATTATATGTAGATTTTATTAATGGAATTTTAATAAATTGTATTGTTTCTTTTGTCAACTATTTGCTTTCTTTTATTCCTTGATATTTGGATGTGAAAGCAGTTTATTATAAGTTTGATTAAGTTTCGATTGATAAAAGTAAAAATAATTAAGATGATAAGGAAAATGGTGTAGCCATTGGTTCTCCAAGCAATGGAAAAAATAAGTTGAGTTCTTATCTTATTATTGGTAGTCTGGCGTTAAGGTAGATAATGTGTTCCTAGCTCAGCGGTTGAATCCCAATAACTTAAATCAAGGGCAAGAAGAAATAATTGCTTCAGTTTTGTGAATGAGAAATTTGAGGTTTTATTCATGTAGTTGTGAGCTTTAACAATTTTCTGCTATGAATTCTGTAGTAAATTTTGCTAGTGAAATTATAAAATGGATGAAGGTAGTTACACATCCTTCGTAAATCAAAAAATTATAAATGTTGGCACACCAACTTGGCTAAATTTCAGGTTCTACATAAAATAATTTATTCTCTTCTGGGTCAGCAGCTGATTTGAACTTAACTTTTGAATAGGCTAGGGCTGCATGTGTACTTATTGATCTGTGTTGTGGTGTGCTGGCACCGTGGATGACTCGAGTGATTGTGAAGTTACACTAGAACCCAATTCTTTGTTTCTTGAGATATTTTCAGGATGGAAGAAGTAAGATCCGGAAGCACCTATGACAAAGGAGCAAAAGAATGCTCACAAGTTGACCTAGATCCTAGAAGCAAGGCTATGAGCTTGCTCGGCCAAGTGACTTTGAAGGGAGAGAGTTTGCTGAATATTTTCTGAATTCTCATCCAAATTATCAAAGTGATTACACAAGGAGGAGGAATGACATATATAGGCCATGGAATGCATGAGAGTTGGCGCCATCCATGAAGAGCCAAAGTTGGCGCCAAGTTTGAATTCAAATTTGAAATTTGAATTCAAACTTGCACGTCCAAGCTTGGTGCCCATGTGTCCGGTCCTCATCTAGAAGCTTAATTGAATTTGAATGTAATTTGATGAGGTTCATTTGAAGCTTCACATGTGCAGCCACCCTTGGCACAAAACATGTGACTCAAATGCAACCTTAATTACTCTCAAATGTAA